AATTAATGCTGCATGGGAATAATACAACGACAGATAAAAGTATTTAAGAGCAAATTTCTTAAACGTCAGTTATAAAAAAAGGGAGGGAGTACATATTTTTAAAATTTGTTTGCATGGCTATTAACAAGAAAAGACCGTATTTTATTATTATTAGTTTGGTAAGAAATTTAAATGTATTGCTTAACACTCACTAAAAGTTGAATTTAAATTTATAATTATTTTTAAATGAACAAAAATTGGTGAACCAAATCAACTCATTACCCATCAATTTAATTGGTTTAACTGAATGCCCATTCAAAATTAATGGACGGGTTTGGGCTGATTATTGATTGGTGCGTTTGAGCAAGTCAACATAATTGGATTGTTATGAACACCTCTAAAATTATGCCACATATATTTAAATCCGTTAATAGTAATCAAAGTCATATATACTACCTATAAAATAGGTATCCTTAAAGTTTTCATTCATAAAAAAAAAAAAAAAAAAAATTGTGCAGTAGCATCAGATTTTGGTAATTGTGGGGGAAATTTCTAAGGTTGGAAAGGCTCGGCAACCAGCATTCGCCGTTATGGTAAGAGTCCGAAGAGCATAAACTCTTGTCTACCTTTTTGTGGTAAATCAGTGGTAAGGCCCCTTTAATTCTTAGTGGTTTGGGGTGAATTGGTGGAGTAGAACGTAGGCTGTGACGTACGGTTAATCGTACAGCTATCATCCATGTATCTAATACTAACAAAAACTCAATGTAAAGTGTAAACAATAAAAAGAAGAAGAAATTCCAAGAAAGAAGAAGAAAACAGCCATCAGCCATGCAACCTCGGAGACGTCTGCTTATTGCTATCTTCTCTTCCGTCTGCAGTGCAGTCCAGCCAGCCAAGGGTTATTCAATCTTTTTCGCACGCGTCACCATGCCCTGTTACACTTGCAAATCAAGAAGAGAAAAACGAAGAAAACCCCCCACCTGCTTTCTGACGTGGGGAAATAGCAAAGTTCTTGATTACGCTACAATAAATAGCTGTACTCTGTAACCCTCCATGCATGTTTAGCAACCCTTTCACCCGCCTATATAAAGCCTTCTTGGCTTCCTCCACCGATAAACCCAACCCCTCTCAACCCCATCTGTCTCAACCCAACTAATTCTCCCTCACCCTGTTATCTATATAAATATTGACAAGGAATACGTAAACCCCTTAAGACTGCATCTCTCACTAATAAAATAACATTAAAAAATCAAGAAAAAAGAAAAGCAAGAAAGAAGCGAGAAATTGTGATTTTCTTGCTTGTTTTTTCTTGCTCAAAGACTTGAAGGTTAGAAAATGATGACAGTGGCGAGGTTCTGTAATAGGCTTCATGGGATGAAGCCAACCATGATGATGGTAATGGTTCAAGTAGCACTGGCGGGAGTGAATATATTCTACAAATTGGCCGCAAATGATGGAATGAGTATGAGGATCATGGTTGCCTACAGGTTCATGTTCGCCGCTGCTGCGGTTGTTCCTCTTGCCCTCTACTTCGAAAGGTAATCCTCCTGTGTCTTTCCGTCGTCTACTTCAAGTTCATATCGAAGGTGTTTAATTTAATTCCTGCTAGCTATTTTAATTATCCCTCTTTTCCAACCGGACAATCTTTCTGAGTTCAGAAAAAAAGTACCATCCCTTTTGCCTGATCTTTGAAAGTACTACTGTTCTTAAACCTTTTTGTCCACGTACGGCCTTTCCAAAGCGATAAAAGAATCGAGAAAGTCCCTCACTTTGTCTTCCGGATGGAGAAATGCGATCTTTACTGCATTCCAGAATAGATGAGATTGAGCTGAACATAAACAAATCAAGAATACTTGTTTTTCGTATTATTTTTAAATTACTAATTAATCAAGAATAATCCGGACGTTGGATACTTTTATAAGAATTTCCTTGGCGAGCATCATTTCAAGTAGAAACGCATGCACGAGGAAACTTTGAGAAACATCAACCAATTTTGTGTGTTATCTATGCAGGAATAGCAGGCCGAAATTAACGTGGATGGTTCTTTTCGAAGCATTTCTTTGTGCATTTTTCGGGTATGTGGGAATCCGGCCTACTGTTACATCGATGTCCATTCTCATGGCAAACTTTTGGGACATAATTAGCAAAATCGCTCTAATCTTACACTTAAATATAGCAATTAAAGATTGAATTAATGAAGGAGCCAGCAGATTTTGATAAATTCACTGACACGCAGCATTTCTGTGTTCGTACAGTATTTATTATTAGTGACTCTTTAATGTTAAGGAAGAAAATGGAAAGAAAGTTAATTTAATTTACTATTTCTTTCCATTTATGGTATAAGTTTCTTTTCTTTCTTTCCATTTTTTTTTTTTTTTGGTGTTTCTCCCCTTTGCACAAGGAACTAGTAGTTCTGGTGGTTGGTTGATTCATATGTGAGACAACTTTTGACTATTTTTAGATACCGGCAAACTTGTCACATGCGACTGGAAATCGATGGTGCTGAAGAGTACACTTGTAAAGCTCTAAAACTGAACTCACTAATCAGCTCTGCATGCAGGGGATCATTGGCCCAAAATTTGTATGCACAAAGCTTAATACTGACGTCAGCGACCTTTGCTTCAGCAACCACGAATCTGATTCCGGCGCTAACCTTCATCATAGCCGTATTTTTCCGGTAAATGTTTTCTGAAATCTAAAAGTATTACTAGTAATCTGTCAACAGCTGGAAGGCATCACACCGCACAGTTGATCTTCTAATCATCAATTAATTTTGATCAACCACAATTAGGTTGGAGAAGTTCGAACTGAAAACCAAGGCGGGCAAAGCAAAAGTGACAGGAACATTAATATGTTTAGGTGGGGCAATGCTGCTTACGTTTTACAAAGGAGCTGAAATCAATCTGTGGTCAACCCACCTTGGCCTTCTGCACGAGAACAACCGCCTTCACGCTGGACACTTGGCAGCGTCCCATCAAAATTCCAGGAATCACATTCTAGGTCCTCTTCTTGCAATATCTAGCTCTTTCTCTGCTGCACTGTCTTTGATTTTTCAGGTACCCTTTTTTCGATTCTCTTCTTCTGAAACTAATTTCCATATGTTTTTTTTCTTAGTCATTTGTTCTGTTCTGAGCAAGAAATACATTCATTGGTTGTGACCATTTGAACGTGTATCATAATAGGCTAAAATGAGTGAGAGGTACCCTTGCCATTATTCGAGCACAGCTCTAATTTGCTTAATGGGATCTCTGCAAACTGTAATTTTTGCGCTTTGTGTGGAAAATAACCGGTGGAGTGAGTGGAAATTGGGTTGGAACATCAGACTCCTCGCAGTATCCTACTCGGTATGTTTAATTCTTAGTTCGACACTTATTACAGGAAATTGAAACAAAGTGGTCATTCAATTTATTGTCCATATCATTACGAATCACCGGATTATGCAGTTTCCAAGTTCTGCACATTCCACGCGTTCTTCTTGTTCTTGCAGGGTACGGTGGCTTCAGGAATAATGATAACAGTTACAATGTGGTGTGTGAGGATGAGAGGCCCTTTATTTGTGTCCGTGTTTAGCCCTCTTATGCTTATACTCGTCGCGATAGCGGGCTCCTTATTCCTCGACGAGAAGTTGCACTTGGGAAGGTAAATGTTTCCTCTTTTCTTCTCAGTATTTTGGTTGTTGTCACTAGAACAGTTCAATGTATTTTCTTCTGTGTTTCTATAACGCTCGAACTTGTTCCAGTGTGCTGGGAGCATTTGTAATAATCGTTGGGTTGTACTCGGTGCTATGGGGGAAAGGCAAAGAGATGAAAAGAATCAGCCAGTTGATGCCAACTTGCGATAAAACTGATGAGCAAATTGAGATGACTGCCGAGCCGGACAAAAATGCAAAGAGTTGCAGTATGATGGCTTTGGGGGTTAGTCCCAATTTTCTCCCAACTTCAGAAACTGAAGCATTAGATACTGATCCAGAAGTTCATTTAGAAGAGGCAATATCCACTCCCGATGGGAAGGCCTAGAATGAACCAACTTTTGCTTCCAAGTTTTTGGATGGTATATTTATTGCAAGAAAGCTCAGTTTACGTGTCTCTCAATATCCAGATTTGTACTAGTAATTTTGCCTTTTGGTGAAATAACCTGTATTGACAGAGACACCTATTATCTTCATTTTTTTTTTTTTGGGGGAAAATTTAGTTTAGCCCGGGCAATCTTATTACTAATCACTAATTAGGATTCCGTTCTCTCTCAATTGTACTTCTTCACAGCCCAAATGAATTTCTTTTGATTAATCAATTGAATTTCTTGCTACTACTTTATCTTTACATTTGGATTGATTCGTACATGTATCCCATAAATAACAACTCTTAAAGTCTTTCTTGGCCAAAAAAAGTCGAGGCACCTTTATTTTAATGCAACCTATCCATAAAGAACTGGTAACAGGCTTGTCCCGAGTTATGCATATCCACATTGATATCAATATTAGTTAATAGTACGAGATTACGAGTCTTTTAATGCACCGAGTTTTTAATCTACATGAGAATTTCCTATCACCATGTCAACCCTCCTAAATATTTCTAGGATCAATTTAAATTTCGCATCATTCTTTTGGTTAATGAGCAAATTATACAGAATATTGCAGTTCATTATTGGTCCATAGCTTACATAATCTAATGCCCATGACACAGTCCCAGGCCTACTGAATTTACTCATGCGGGTAAGTTGTATTTATGCTTTCAGGAAGAAAATGTTCAGATCGATGTTCAATTTAAAAGGCCGAAACCTTTCACGAAGGCCTTCTAATTTTTTTAGCTGTCTTACCAGTTCACATCCAACTTTAGATCTACATTCTATTTATGTCACTTACCAAAATTTGCTTCAAGTTTCATCTTGATCACACCATATTCTGGAAAAAGTTGTGTCGATTGTTCTGTGACATGCACTCTCTACTAGCCACCACGGTGCTTTACAAGAGTTGCTACATTGAGGTCCAATCTCCTTAGTACCCATGTTACAGTATTGATTTAACCGTGAATCCAGGTATAGATCGGCTATATTTCGAACCATATTGTTTTTCATCAAATAAACAATCGTGATATCCCTACCAGTTAACTGCATCAATTTCGTCCCTTAAAAGAATGATGCGATCCTTATTTTAGTGGATTTGTAACAATACTTTTTTGTCCCCTTGATGACTTCGAATACCAGTATATTTCGATTGTCCGAGGTTTCCTCCGGCAGTCCCACCACATTTCATTCATGAAAATATGATCACAAAAATCCAAACCAGAAGCTAACCCTTTGCTATTTATAGTGAAGCTCAATGTCCCAGTTCATCTAAACTCAACAGTAGCAAGGCATTGTCGAATGCAGTATGTTATCCTTTCTGCTTAGAGTTGATACAGTTCTTGTAAACTCTTCCGGCCCTTCTGCCATTCTGCGTCTGTGTGGCTCCTTCATATCCATACAGAATATATCTGCACAATTTAAGCTTGATAAGAAGTATTACTAAATTTTACGTCTTCAATTCCTCCAACACGAGGTATACTCCTGATCGGTGGGTAAGATTTTTCCCCTGCTGTAGACCGTCCAATTTTGCCACCAAAATGAACAGAACTCATTCCTGGCACCCTTCTAATGCCCCTCATTTTAAGAACCCCTCTGAAAGAGTCAGCCTTCTCAGGCTTACCTACTGAGGCATACATGTTAGAAAGCAAAACATGATATTCCACGTTTTGCGGATAAATTTGAAGTAGCTCTTGCATAACTCTTTCCCCTAACTCTAGCTTTCTATGGACAATACAGGAACCTAAAAGAGATCCCAATACAAACTCATTAGGCTGCATTGGCATTCCCATTATTATGGTCTCAGCTTCTTCCAGATGTCCAGCCCGACCCAAAAGATCCACCATACAAGCATAGTGCTCCATTGAAGGCTTTATCCCATACCTACATTCAAGGTTTGAGAAAAAAACTCGACCTTGATCAACTAAACCTGAGTGACTGCAAGCATTTAAGAGAACTGTGAAAGTCACATCATCAGGATTGACCTCCATTACCATCTGATCAAACATATCTAAAACAACGCTACCCTTTCCATGCACTGCAAGACCGTTTAGCATAGCGTTCCACATGGCCACATTCCTATGATGCATTGCCTTGAATACTCTACAAGCCGCAGCTATCCCGCCACATTTAGCATACATGTCAATCAAAGATGTAGCGACCATAACATCCATTTGAATTCCCATCATTTTAACTGAATGGAGATGCAACCACCTGCCCATCATAACATCCCCCGATCGGGTACAAGCCGATAACAATGAACAGAGTGTAACAAAGTTCAAATCTAGCCCATGATCAAAGAGCATCTCCTTGAGCATTTTAAAAGCCTCCCCAGCACACCCATTCTCAACATACCCCGTGATCATTTTCGTCCAAGCAATCTCATTTCTCTCTGGCATCTCATCAAAGACTCTCCTCCCACTTTCCAGGCATTCCCATTTGATCACAGCATCCAAAAGAACCGTCCAAGAAACAGCACTCCTTTCACTCATCTCATCGAAAACCCGCCTCGCTTCACGCATTAATCCACATTTTGCATACATACTCATAGCCGCATTGCAAGCCTTCATACTATTATAACAGAAACCCATCTTGACCAGGCAAACATAACCTTGATACCCCAACCATTCATCACCCAATTTCGCACAAGCACAGAAGAAAGAGACCAGCGTAATTTCGTCAACTGGAACTCCAATACTTCTCATAGTGATGAACAAATTGAGGGTTTCGCGAGGCAGTCCATCTCGAGTATAACAGGTCATTAGGGTAGTCCAATCAACTGTGTCTTTATGCGAGCGGGGAATTTCGTCGAATACCTTGCGCGCAAAGTAAGAATTACAGCAGGCAGCGTACAAATGGAGGACGGTGTTGCGGAGGAATGAGTTTGGGGCAGATAAAGCCAGCAGACCGCTGGTTATGGCTGTGGCGTGGAGCTTCTGGCCCACGCCCAAATCTGGGTGGCGCGCGGCGGACCTTAGAAGAGCTCGGTAGTGACGAGCCAGTGATGAGATATGGCGGGTACATTCGACCATCCTGAAACATTATGTACGCAGACATAGACGTAACCAGATCAAGATGCATGCTCGATGCTTAGCTCCTAGTAAGTGCTAAGACGAGTCTTTAGAGTCTTGAGTTGGGCTGCCAAAAGTTTCAGATTCTAGCGCTTCAACTCATTATGTAGACTTGAGAGCCTTTCCTTAGCATCTGCCACTAGATACAATTTTATTGTCATTATTATTCATTGATTTGTCGAATGAATGTTTCAGTGCTTGTTTAAGGGTGTTTTTTTTTTTTTTTTTTGGGTGTTTGAATAATGTACCTAAAGGGTTAATTTAGTGCCTATGAGACGTAAAGCCGAGTCAAAATTTGGGCTGAGCTGGACTCAACTCTGGGAAAAAAATTATTTGGATTTGTTTGGCTAGCACATTATTTGAAAAAAATGATTCATTTGCATGAGTATGCATGTTTTATAATCAATTTTTTTCTATTGTTACTGTTTTATCTTACGTACATCATATCACAAAGAACGCTTTAGTGTCATTCTAAAAATTTTGCCTAATAATCCACTGTATATATATTCCATGCCAACACAAAAAACATGCTGATTCTTTACCCAACTCGGTGAAATTTTTTTTTCTTTTTTAATATCCTTAGTTACATAAGGATTCAGATATAATTTCAATTTTTTTAAAGCAAAAAAAAAGAGAATATGGATAATAAAATAAATATAAGTATGAAACTTAAAAGGAAAGAATAGAGATTTCCCTCTAATTAATAGTGATTGGGAAAATGTGCATTATACGCATGTGTGTTAGTTATGTCAAATATAAAACTGCAGGCGGAAAGCGACTTTTGATGATGAGAAAAAGAAAGCGAACGAAGCATGGGGCTGCAGGCCATCATTCATCTCACCACCAATACTCCCTCCACCAGGGACACTACCTCCTTTTTCTCTCTTCCTCTATTAACTATTCCTAGTCAAATACAATACAGTCACCAGGCTTGCAATAATACAAATACAATCATTAGGTTGTAAACTGAGCCAGTGAAATCCAACTTTAATTTAATCGAATCGAGATTTGATTTAATTTTATTAAATTCAAAATCGAATTCGAACTTGACAAGCTTTTAACGTAAAATTCGAGATCGAGTTCAACTTCAAATTCAAACTTAGTCGAGTTCGTATTCGAGTCTACTCAAATTTAAAAAATAAAAAACAATTATTCCTTTTTTTAAATGAATAAAATAGTCATTTTTCTTTAATAAATAATAAAAATATTATGTACATATGTAATTTCATTATTAAACTAAAATTATATATAGACTATTTTCCTTAATAAATAAAAAAAATATTAGGGATGCATATATATAATTTCACTATAAAAATAAAATATATACTCAAGTCGATTCGCGAGTTAACAAATTGAGTTTCTTTGTGTTCGAATTGAATTCGATAACTCAATTTGATCGACTCGAACTCGATGCTAACCGAATTCGAGTTGAACTTTAATCGAATTGATCTACGAGTAGTTTGCTTCGTTCGCAACCTTAATAGCAACATGTCAACTTATCGTGAAATTTTTTGTCTCAAAACAAAGAAATAGAAAATAATTAAAGTAATGACAGGAAAGCACGAAACATAGTGTGTGTACAAAGGACTACAGACGCACTCTTTCAATTCAGTTGATAGTAAAACACAATTCTATTATGTTATCTTGTCATAGGAATGTGTGACTAAAATAATGGTAATGTAGACACTAAAGCGGGTTAATACCACTTTGTCCCCCCACACTTTGGACGATTACCCACTTCAGTCCCTAAACTTCAAAATGGGACACTTAAATCCCTAAACTTATAAATACCTCCCATTTAAGTAAAATTGTTAACAAATCCTAAATGCCGTTGGTGGTCGAAGTGTCCCATTTTATAAGGGTTTAGGGATTTAAGTGTCCCATTTTATAAGTTTAAGGACATAAAATGGGACACTTAAATCCCTAAACCCTTGTAAAATGGGACACTTCGACCACCAACGGCATTCAGGATTTGTTAACAATTTTCCTTAAATGGGAGGTATTTATAAGTTTAGGGACTTAAGTATCCCATTTTGAAGTTTAGGGACTGAAGTGGGTAATCGTCCAAAGTTTGGGGAGATAAAGTGGAATTAACCCCACTAAAGCCGGAAGTAGTTATGATGATTGCCGAATTCGACCACGTACATAAGCAAAATGTATCCAACATTCAATCCACACAACACAAGATATTGGAATTTTCACCATCAAGTACTGTTCCCTTCGGTTGTTTTGATTGATGACTTTTGAGGCTTCAAATATTCCGGTTGGGACAATTGGCAGTCAATTTCTTGGTTTTTTCTAGGAACTTTATATGGATATGGATCGCTGCAAAGGACGTGAGCCGTTATCGGCTAGGATTAATTTGTAGGCTGATGTTTCCACAGTTTAATTTAAGCGCGAAAACGCTCCAGTACAAAAGTTTAATAAGTTGCTCATTGCGTATTTAATTTAATTATATAATTTAATAAATAAAATTTATATGATTAGAATGGTAGTGAGAATATCATTAACAAAAAATGAGAGTGCAAACATTTCCCTTCCTTAATTTATTATCTAAGAAGGGCTCAGCTTCACTGCCAATCTGCAACCAACTATCTTCAGAGTAGTTGGCCACCACATATTCTTGTGAATAGGAGGTCAAAAATTCAAATATCTTGCTTACCATCCAAAAGTTATCACTTAATGTGGTTTTTTTTAAATCCATATGGGTGCCTCTAGCACCTGTATGGTCTGATGGTGATTCAGTTTCTATCGATTCTTCCATAATATAGATTAAAGCAGGAGTAAAAATAAATGTAAATGATGATAATAGACACACAAAAAAAAAAAAAAAAAGTACTGCCGGTCTGCCAGTAACGGGAATTAGTCATCTAAGACGTGGTAGAGAATATCTGAAATAAGAAAAAAGGAAAAGGGAAATTACCCAAAGTCCAATCTGGCATTAGTGCACAATTATGAAGCTTGAGTTATATCGCATATATTTGTAGTATTCTTTTGGATGAACATCAGCAATACTAGTAATAGCTGGATTAGTTGGCGAATGATGCAAGACACATCCCAAAATTGACAGGCACCAGATAAAGTTGTAAATTCGTTTCCTACAAGCCCTACATTATCATATTATTATTTCAACGTACAACAGAGATTCCAATTAAGCATATGCCAATTGGCATGCACCATGCAGTAATCGGGTCTTGATACGATATTCTGCAATTTCTAAGCTATTAAATTTTTACAAGTTAAAGTCATGATGATCTGTTGGCGCACGTAAACATCTAGATATACTAGAATAGTTGAGGAAATTTTTTTTTTGTCTTCTGTTCTTCAGAAGAAAAATGATGTGCGGATGAACTATAATGAATCAATGTATTACTACATGAGAAACATTGGACTGAACGATAAAGTAGAAGAGATTGTAAGTACGAGATTTTGAATCCCACTTAAAAAAGAAAAAAAAGAAAAGAAGGAGAAGAAGAACGAACACATGACTGACTCGCTCGCTCGCTCGCTCGCTAATGTGTGGTGGAAATTGGAATGTGGCTCTTTGAAGATGATCCAAACTGCATGTTAGGTGTTTGAAATATCAAGGCAAAAAGCAGCGAGCTTTTCAGATGTATTAGACAATGGGGCTGCAAACTGCACATTCTTTGGATGCTTAGGCTGAGACTTTAGTTTTGAGAATTTGGTTTCACTTTTCCACCACTCCACTTTTGTTGATTGATGGTCAGTGCAATCAAAGTCAAGGAGTCGTTTGTTTTGTCCGTCTGCAATCTGCGTCTGTGTTTTGTCCATCTTTCTTGTGATAAAAGGGTCGCGGCCGAAAAGTTGGAAAGTAAACCAGTAATTGCTCGATGATCTTCTTGCTTTACAAATTGAAGCACAGATATAATAATAATAAATTAATAATAATAATAATAATAATGTGCTTCAAAAAGGAGATTATCCGAGTACAGAAGACAAACGTCGGTTGCAGTAGTATGATCTTTGTCAATTGCATGAAATTTTTTTATTTTCACTTCTTACTTTTTTTATAAAAAAAATTTATTTATTTTTATTCAAAGAAAGACTCTAAAACATTACAAGAATGGAGCTTTAAGATTCGAATTAGGGACTTCATGTTCTTTCGACTTGCTGGTTAAGTTGGGTCTTTGAGACGAATTTTATTGCACTAATTAAGAGTTTATTAAGTTAGAACCAAAAAAAAAAAGAGCCCAAATCTGGCCAGCCTAGCAAAAACTTCCTTACTGCTACCGACATCTCAAAGGTACAAAGCCTAAACTCCCTTAATGATCATGACTAGAGAAACCCAAGTACCCAAAAACTTTATAATAGAGATACCAAAATAATCAGCGGAGATGGTAGCGGTACCAAACTGCCAATTATTATACTCACCAAAATGCCTGTTGCTGTCGGAAACGCATATTCTGCTGAGAACTGAGAACATACCCCTTGTCGATGTTTAAAGCTATAGCCTTTAACCCTTTAACGCCCTTCAAATAAACGAATCGAGCCGCTCAAGCTCGAGCTGGTCGAACCAGAGTCGAGCTCAAGTTCGAGTTCAAAATATTAAGCTCGTCTCGCGAGTTCGAGTATATATATATATATATATATATATATATTTTAATAGTAAAATTACATAAATATTCTTAATATTTTATTATTTATTAAAAAAATATTATTTTTTTATTTTTTTTAAAATAAAATAATTATTTTTTTTTCGAGCTCGAGCTTGAAAATTACCAGCTCGTCGAGTTCGAGCTCGATGAAATTAAGTCAAGGCTCGACTCGATAAGACCAAAATTCGATTCGACTCGGCTCGTTTGCAGGTCTACAAATAGCAACAAGAAGAAGCTGAACAAAAACTCCACCAAACTGTCAGTATAAGAACGAAGCAACCCGAAAATTAGATGGCTTGCCAAAAGGAGAAAAATTGCAAAGGCAGATGGAATTCCTTGTAATATTAATCGAGTTAAATTATTAATAGCCTATTAGAGCCAATGAAGCAAGCAGTTTGGTTTATTTTGTAGGAAGCTGTCCATGGTTTTAATAGCCTGCGATCATTCTTGATGAGCAGTGCCGCGAATAATTGTAAATTTGATTAATTTTTACGTACACTGATAATATATACACTGTTAAATATAAATACGTGTCACATATGCAAGAATTTAAACTTCAATTCTTAT